GACCTAGGTTAGATTACTGTTCTCAAATAGTTAATGGATGTGGGTTGTTCTAGTTTTAGGGAAATGCGAAGTTTAGCTCAGGATAGGAAAGAGTGGAGGTGCGTGTCCAACTAGACTGGCGACCTTATGATGTTGATAAATCTGATCTAGGTCTACCGCTACTTCTCTTAATTACAGTTCCTAGTTCTAATAGTTGTCTAACTACCCCTTCATGTCTGAGAAGGTGTCCTACCTACCAAGAATTTTAATAATTATTTATTCAATACAAACAAAGGTTAGAAGCATTGGAAATGTAACAAATGATTAGGATAGCGTGGATAGAGAAGGTTAGAAATGAGGAGAAATCAGAAACAGTAGGAGAACAGAGGGAGCTATACCGGTTTAGACATATTAGTTTGTGGTTCTAGTAAGTATTTTGTGAAGTACTTTCCAATTTGTCATCAACATCATAAAGTCATCAGTCCTAAAACTGGTTGGACACGCACCTCCACTCTTTCCTATTCTGAGCTAATCTTCCCATTTCCCTAAAATTAAAAGATCCCATATCCTTAAGTATTTGAGAACAGGAATCTAATCAAGATCTAGAAATGAGGAGGTATTATAAAGGATAGGAGAACAGAGGACTCTATGGAAATAGACATGAAGGGCTAGTTAGAAACATATTAGAAGCAGAAACAGGAGTTAAAAAAAGTGGAGGTAAACCTTGATTTGATTACTGCTTACACATGGATAAGGATATGGAATGTTCTAAGTTTAGGGAAACGCAAAAATTAGCTCAGGATTGGAATGAGTGGAGGTGCGTGTTCAACCGGTTTTAGGCCTGACGGCCTTATGATCTTAATGATGATGATGGCCTTTCTTACACCTTCGTAAAATCCATGATGGATTATATAAAAACTAAATAAGGGACAATCGGACTTAGTTGTTTTGGGCATTATTCGACATTAGTCGCAATTCAAATTTGAAACGGATAGAAAATTAATGCTTAATTCATTATTTTTGGACAAACTGAAAAACCTTTCAAGCGAAGTATCATTTTGAACACGTCCAGCTTAACTGTATTTATTGTTTGGTTTTCGTGTGTATGATGATGAAACTTATGGATATATTATAATAGAAATCATCATGCTTAGTTGTAGTCGATGTGGCAATTTCAAGAAATCCATTCGTTGTTCGAAGAAGGCCTTTTATTATTAGGCTTAGCCTTCTACCTGCTTTACGGCCAAGTGAAGTCGTACGTTAGACACTCTTAAGATAAGGAAAGTAAACAGCGACGTTTTTTAGAGGATACGACTATTCTGCCATTCCGCCCACTTTGGTTTGCCTTAGCATTTTGTCGAATAGAAATGCAAACAACAGAGACTAGATTTATTAGTTTTAAGTCTACCATGTTGTAACCTAATAGGACCCAAACGGATATTCGTATGTAAATGCGTTTAACTTGTCATATATCTGAACTTAACAACAGTGTACATATATGTTAAAGTCACTAGATAATAGAAAGCGTTTTTCGTAAAACGATCGAAGTTTACGTAGTTACCGTGTAAAACGAGAATCAAAACATTTTTTGTGTCTCTAAGTTAAGTTATTGTTCATTTCAATGTTAAATACAAACCATTTAGTTTTATTCAACATATGCAGATATATACAGATTTATTCCAATTGCATTTTATTAATGTTATTATTGTTATTTTATCGCTCGTTGAGGAATAGTTATTCTTTTACGTCAATGTTTCTGGAACAACACGCAGCAGCAGGCAATACCGAAAGTGATGCAGTTGCTGGTCCAGCGTTTTATTAAATGTGGATCGCGACCCTTAGGGGGTCGAGAGGACTTACTCAGGGTTCACCGGAAATAAGAGAATAACAAGGTTCTATACTACAATAAAAACACAGTTTCAGTGAGGATATGGGATTATTTATTTATCAAACTTTTTGTCTGTCTGTGATCCAAGGGAGTTGCCAGAATTTTTCAACCTGTGTACCAAAAATACTGGTATGCAATTTTAGGTATCTAGGAAGTCAGATACACACTAAGTGTCACTCTTCTATAATTGTAGCCCGCCGTCATGCCAGAAGATCATTGATACCACTGGACCATTGCCATCGTCATCATCATGAGGTCGTCAGTCCTAAGACTAAGTTGGACACGTACCTCCACTCTTTCGTATCCTGAGCTAATCTTTGCATGTCCCTAAAACTAGAATAACCCACATCCTTAACCATTTGCGAACAGTAATCCAACCTAGGTCTACCTCTATTTCTCCTAACTCGCCTTTCTGCCTCTAATATGTCTCTGACTAGACCTTTTTGCCTGAGAAGCTGTCCTACTACCCTATCCCGCCTATTTCTTATTGACCATAGAGTCCTCTGTTCTTCTATACTTTCTAATACTTCTTCATTTCTAACCTTCTCTATCCACGGTATCCTCATCATCATAACACCACATTTCGAACGCTTCTAAATTTTTCTTTTCCGGCGCGCCTACCGTCCATGTTTCGCACCCCTACATGCAAAGAAATACAGTATAGAGGCGGACTCTTGTGTTCCGAGAGTTCCTGAGAATTTTACACCAACAAATTTATATTAAAGTTTGTAAGATTTTCAAACATTTCCCGCTTTCGTTAAGTGCAGATACTTATATATCGGACGGAATTACGTTTTCTACCTATTGTTCTTGATGATGCTTTTTACACCCAATCGCTTCGAGTTAAACAATTTGTTGATCCTATCTTTATGCTCACTGAAAATTTTTGGCTCCTATTTGTTTAAATATATGTCATCACTCATGACAAACCTATTGAAGCCATTAAATAGTGCACTTTGTAATCTAAGGTCTAAATGTTTTTATAAGAGAAATATGTAGGTATGTATTGTATAGTATAATGAGTAAATACAATAAATAATAAAAAATTATATTCCAGCACTATAATACAAATGCTGCAGCTAACTAATTTTTAAGTATAATTCAAACTATAATCTAACTCTAAATCGTATGTACCTAAAGCATAAAACTAGCCATTAAAAAAACTGGTTTTATAATAAATAAGGATCTATTAACACGTTTTTTTGTTGGCCATTTGAAACCATGCTAGGAATAAATCCGTATGGTAAACGCAGCTGGAACTAAAAGCTTTTTGCAGTAGGTAGGTATACCAGAATAACAATGAATTTCGTTATGAATTGTTGAAACCATAAAGACCAGAGGGCCCAATTTATGGCATATAACGAATTAGCGACTAATGTCTTGAGTGAAAATATCAGCTGGGCATTGTGTTGTAAAACTGCCACTTGGAAGAATGCACAAGCTGGTGAAACATTTTCTAAAGGGTGACTACGAACCGAAAGTTATTCAAATATGAATCTACCCACCTAATGTAAAAAGTGAAACGATTTTAGTGACACATTTTTATCAAACTGTATTTGCAAGTACCTTTCTGAAAATTAAACAATAGTGAAACAAAAAGAATTGCAAATCTTTTGGAAAACTACCAAGGAAGATGGTAGAAAGAAGATTTAGTAGCGAGTAGATAATTTTAGCTGTAGATTAGATTTATGAATACAAAATCATCATCTCCATCATCATCATCATCATCATCATCATCATAATGTCGTCAGTTCTAAGACTGGCTGGACACGCATCTCCACTCTTTCCTATCTTAAGCTAATCTTCGCATTTCCTCAAAACTAGAACAAACCACATCCTTAACTATTTGCGAACAGTAATCTAATCTAAGTCTACCTGTACCCCTTCTCATTCCCGTTTCTGACTCTAATATGCCTCTGACTAGATCTTCATGCCTCAGAAAGTGTCCTACCAATCCTCTGTTGTCCTATTCTTTCCAATATTTCTTCATTTCTAAACCTTCTCTATCCACGGTATCCCGATTTTCTTTTACTTAGTACCTATGTAAATAAAACTTAAAAAAAAAAAACTTTTGGGTGTTTCATTCCCACTAGCCAGTAATGCTGGTGGGCGGGCAGTCCCTCCGGACTACGTCGGAAGGTAGGACGGAAGGCCCTCTTCAGCCTGCTTTCAGGAATCGTGGGAATGGGTGGGTGGTGGTTCGGGTGAGAAAGATGAGACGGACGAAATGAAGACAGAAGAGAATGAAAGATTATCTGTGGAATAATACTGCCTCAGCATTTGCCTAAGTGATCCAACGAAACCGCAGAAAAACTTGGATCAAGGCAGACGAACCCGGAATCGAACCGGCGTCCTCCCGAATGCTAAGCAATGGTCTAAACTTCTAGGCCACGCCTCTCGGTCCTATGTAAATAATAATTAAACGAAAATTAGACAATTGCTCAATTTGTATTTACGTGTTTATGTTCTTGCTGTAATACGTATTTATAAAAAAAAAGTGCAATCAGTGTCAAGGATCTGTTTTATTTTCGCCTGTGCAGTTTTTTCGTTCCGGTTTGTAAAACACTTTCGTAATAACAATAACTCAACTTTTTACGGTACGGATTTTTATAGACCGTAAAACTCAAAATGCGTTAATAATGTCTCGGTCGGACTGTCAAAATCATATTGAAGCCTTCAATTGTTGATCGACGTTCATTTTCTCTAGCGGCGTCGCAGCCAGGCTAATAAAAGTAATTTATTGAACTATTTTTAGGACCCTCGATTTTAAACATTCAATTGTCTACTTTTATGGCACGTTAAATAATAAAATTTGCATTTGTAAGTTGTACGATAGTGAGTTAAAGAGGGAAGCTATACAACTATACGTGATAAAATGAGGTCAAACGGAAAACCGACGGAGCAATTCAGGGGGTTGCTGGTTGACTACCTGAAAATGACTTAAAAATATCAGACAAAGAATGAGTCGTAAGTGTAAGACGTCCATAGGGTACGATTCTTTGTTAGATCCACATACAACACCTTGGGAATAAACTAAATCATGCGACTGTAGGATTTCGTAGGCTTACGCGGTTGTCGCTGACAATAAATTTGACGGTGTTGAGTAGATGAGTTATCAATTGTTTTGTTCCAGATCATCCATTAACATCGGAAGTGCCTTGAAGATATCCTGTGTGATCCAGATGAAGACTCATTATCCTTAACCGTACCTACCGGCGTGTTATTGTAAGTATACACAGAAAATATCGAATCCTGTACTAAAACTACATGCTTAGTTATTTTTCTTACGTATATCAAATCGTTACTTTTTAATCTATCGACATCAACATTATTAAAGACAAGACAAGTCTAGGGAAAGATACAAAGGGGCCAAAGATTGTATATTGGCACATGATATAGCAGCAAATAGGAGTTAGAGATAAATAAAATGGAAGCGGTAATGACAAAACAGCACTGTATGAAAATAAATAAAAGTAAAACAAAAATACTGGTATGCAAGGGAAGGAAAAATAGGGAAAGGGCAAATATAAAGACAGGAGACGAAAAATTAGAAGACGTGGCCGATTTTAGGTATCTAGGAAGCCAGAGAAGTTAGGACGGAAGAAGTAGTAGGAATATAAAGCAGAGGATAGCGCAGGGTCGAGTCGCCTTCAATAACAAGAAGTCACTTGTATGCTCGCGAACGGGTAATTTAGAAATTCGGAAAAGATTGTTAAAGGTGTATGTTTGGAGCGCGGCGCGGTACGGGTGCGAAACATGGACAGTGGGCGCGGCGGAAAAGAAAATGATGAGGATATCGTAGAAAGAAAAGGTTAGAAATGAAGAGGTATTAAAATGAATAGGAGAACAGAGGAAATAGGCGAGATAGGTTGGTAGGACACCTTCTCAAGCATGAAGGTCTAGTCAGAGACATGTTAGGGGCAGAAATGGGAGTTAGAAGGGGTAGAGGTAATCCTAGATTAGATTACTGTTCTTAAATAGTTAATGGATGTGGGTTAGGAATAGGAAAGAGTGAAGATGCGTGTCCAACCAGTCTTAAGACTGACGACCTTATGATAATGAAGACCTATTATTAATATATTTTGAATTTATCGCATCATTCATTACGGAAAATTTAAACAGAAACTTGAGAGTAACAGTCTTCGATTTGTTATTTCTTGCGATCATTTTTCTTTTGAATAAGCATTACTAATCTTTCTACAAATAATTTGAAGAGCCTATTCGCACGGTATATGTATAATTCGTAATTTGAAACTGCTTGACAACCGCATCGTGTGAATACGTAATATGTTTTATATTTTTCTCTTTAAATTAGCATCTGCTTTCAATTCATTTGAGTATGTATTTAATTATGTATGTATATAGATATAAGTAGCTTGTGTGATATTCTCGCGGACTCTTACGTATGTACAGTAAGTAGAATATTGCACATTTTAGCTCTTCGACTTTTTATTTTTATTCGCCATAGCTCAGCGCACATCTGCACCGTTTCTAATCGTATGTCCGTTTTTAAACGACATCTGTTCAAGGAAAATATGGGCCAATTTTTCTTTTTAATAACTGTGTTTTAGTTAACATGAAAAAGTAAACATCAAATGACGACTATGACGTAAACATCAAAGATAACTAAAAATAAGTTCCAAAAGAACGGGAATACACAAACTTGAAATCTGAATATCGCAAGCTCATATGTATTCCCAGCTGCGAGATTTCCCTGAACATAAAAAGGATTTTTTTAACAAATCGCGAATTTAGTATGTATATGTATAAAAGATAGCAAACAAGAACAGTAAAAATACATTAAAGGAAAATATTTTAAAGTATCTACTGTTCGTTTCAAGAAGTTGGAGATATGCCCCTTCCCTTTATTAGGAAGCGCCGTAGTATAATTCCAAATTCAATCATATTTGTCTGCGTAGCTCATTTCTCTACCGATCATCGAGCGAGAGCTAGACAAAAGTGTACAGTACCATTTGCAAAATTATTTAAANCACTTCGAATTATTTTATTCGATTATGGTAACGTGCCTATCACATTGAGGTTAGCTACGCGGGGATTCGTTTCAGCGAGTAGATATCCATATATTTAAATTGACTTTGTTGGAGCATACGTAATCCTAAAATGTAGCATCGTACTACAGATGGCGTTTACCGCACCATTTGTAGTATTTTCTAAAACGCGCTGTTAAGACAGCAGGTAAAAGTTGGTCTGTGTTCTGTCGGAGCTGTCTGCGACGCGCTGATGAGATCCAAAAAGATCGAAATCGCGATCCGCGT